CCCCCCACTCTACTCCTCCTGCGCGGTTAGAAATCTCTCACCAAAGCCATGTGGGAGGACGGCCCTCCTCTCCATCGCAGCGAGGGGAGAGTGAGCATGATAATGATCTGGGTGATAATAACAGAGCAGAGGAAAGGAAAGGGAGATGAGGAGAGGATGACAGAGAAGTGGTGGGTGGTGAGAGAAGTGTTTTTCATTGTGTCTTCATCGCTCCTCTATGACCATTATCCACAGAGCTGTCCTCTCTCTTCCCCGCCATATTACTGCTGGGAGGAAGTACCAGAAAAGGGACATGTTATCCATCCAGCCTAATGTTCCATAACCACTGGTTTGGAGAGGCTGAAGTGGCTGTTGCATTGGATCTGTGTGGAAAATATGAGCATATATATCCATACATAGACCTCGTATACCCTCAACATAACTCGGCTATCTGGCCTTATCTTCAAAGAGAAGCATATTTCTCAAGAGCTTTGACCTCTGCAGTCCAAATTTACAGCCAATGACAAACAGTGCAACACGGCGCAACCTTATCCACCTATCTCTCACTTTCTTATCTTCCTTAATGCCTCGTGATTCTAACAAAGTAAAGTCAAACACTAATGGCACCTTGCCAGCTCTCCAGAGACGTTGTCACAGTGGTGAAAAAATGAAAAAGTTTCGATTAGCATCAGATGGAGGCTATTGACATGACTTTAGCCTTTACAAAGTAGAGAGTAAAAAAGCCTTAAGCAAACATGAGCTGAGAATTGCCCCTCTGAGTATTAAAGGTCCCATGACATTAGGGCTGCACGATTTGGGGAAAAAATCTAATTGCGATTTTTCTGACAAATATTGCGATTCGAATTGCGATATTTGTTTTTAAGCAACCCAACGGAAGTTTATTGTGGATTTTCACTCTGCATATTCTTTAATAGTTGACCCTGTGATAATTCAGCCTGTTTTCACACACATTGCTAACCCAGGGTTACCTTAAACGCACGTTTCACACTGCACCTCTAGCCAAAAATGTGGCTCAAATTCCGTTTTTTACTTGAGTCCTTTCTCATACTGGTCACTTTGAGCCCTGTCTTTTTATTTATTTAATGGGAATAATCCCGCAAATTGAGCTCTGGGTCTAAATCAGGGTTATCCCACTTTTGAATGTGACAGTTTAAAAACGTTCTAATAGCCCCAAGCTAAACAGCTCACTTAGCATTGGGCTAGGTGCAGTGTGAAAAATTGTACCACAAATCTCTCAACCATACGTTAGTGCTAGATGAAACCTCAGGGAATCAATAATTAAGATAAATTGTCTGGAAACCACGTAAAACATGTGAAAAAAAGATAAGATATTTAAAACAAAATCTGAAAGGATAAAAAGTCTCCTGTCCAACCTTCATTGTTATGATGTGTTGTTGAAGAGCCATGCTAGCGTAATGTTCTTACAACTTATCCACACTTGTCGGACTGTTTATTGTCTGTGAGTGAATTGCTTTTCTGTGGCTGATTGTGCTTATCTTGTAC